CTCCGAGTAACTCTAAAGAACCCGGAGTAGTGGCGGAAAGAGTAAGTCAGAGTACGTTACTCGAGTTGACAAATTTGGAACGTGAAAAGGTAAGGTAATATTATATATACATATAATATTATATTTAATATTTTATTTAGAAAGAGATAAACTCAGATAAACTATATATGTATGTACATGCATACATCTAACCTTGATACAAGCTTTCGAATCACATTTTCTACTTACCTCTCGTGTCCATCACCCACAATGAATTATTTTCTTGTAACGGTGTTCCATTATCATTGGTTATTAACATATGCATATCTTTGATTAATTTTAGAGCCATTTTAGGGAAATGAAGTCGTTACTTTAGAGACCGCTCGAACGGGACGGACGTATGCGTCTCGCTTCATGTGTTGCATCATCTCAATATTCAAATTTCGTTTGCCGCACTTTCTCTTTCAACCCACCTCGGAAGCAAGGTTCATAGAGTTGACTCCGAGGTAGATTTTTCATACTTTTGGAACGAATAGACTCCGCCCATATGGTCAGTTACCTCGCGTTTTGGAACGGCGTAGAGTTAAACTGTTACTCGGAGTGAATTTTGGAACGCACCCCTGACTATGTCCTTGCTGGAAAGCAAGCTTAGCAAGCTGTATATCAAGTGCACGATGTAGGGCCACTGTCACCAAGCTCAGTTAACTTAATGCGGGGTCTACAATAGAAGTCGTAGCAGTTGTAAGGTCTTAAGGGTGAAATCACACGATGCGGAAAAAGACTGCGGAATAGAGAATGCGTCATTGAAGCAACCAATCAGCGCTATTCAGCGCTATTCGGAATAGATCGGAATAGCGCTGATTGGTTGCTTCAATGATGCATTCTCTATTCCGCAGTCTTTTTCCGCACCGTGTGATTTCACCCTAAGTCGTTGTTTGCTTCAAACAAAATGATAAATGCGATTGGTCAATTCTGATGGACTAACTGGCCAGTTAAGTTAACTAACCTTGGTGACAGTGGCCCTTAATGCGTTATATAAATATATAGTTAAATAATTAGTCAATTTTTTACGGCTTACGACTTAAAATCTATTGTAGATTTAAAGTAATGAAATACTTTAGAGCTCACTCCGATAACGGAATCAACGGAGTACAATGTTGGTGGTTGGAGTATGTTTATGTTTACGACACTGGAGCGGTCGAAATATGACGGCGTAGGGAGTGATGGTAGGGATCCGATCTGGTGGTGGGGGTTCGATGCCGCTTCTCTTTATATATAGGACTCTAGTAATGAGCATGATTCCCCTTCCAGATTTTCGGCTTCACTCCCCTCGCCATTTCGTCTATTTCAACTGTATCCCTACTTTCCTATATCTATGGTAAGAGCACGTGGTGCGACACTGATACATAAATATCGGTATGAACCCTACATCGGTGAACATAGCATTGTCCAGGAAACACGACGATGTAAAGCAGGTACCATGGTTATCTCCGTAAGTATTGATTGCCAGTGAAACGAAATTTTAATGTAAGAGATGAATACCGATGGATAATCAATTTGTTGATCAGGGCAGAATGGCACGACGTGTACAGGCAGATTTATTCCAACGACCCGATCGAGCAAACAAAGGCCTACGAGACGCTCTTAGCATGGAAAGCCAGGTGATGCAATATTTCACATTACTCAACTAGATGAATCGAGATGGATTTTAGAAATTATTGTTATTCGTAGGATGCCGAAACTACCAGCGGGCGTGGACTGTACTCTGTCAATTTTGCAAGTGTGCCTTCGTGATCGCGAATGGACATCCAAGATTGACAGTGGCGAGTTACCGATGTATTGCGAAAACGACCTGAGCTTGATGTACTCGACCACGATAATGAGATTCTTGAACTACTTTTCCAATATAGGACATACAAAGCAAAGATCCATGTTTAAGATCGCTAGTCAACTGAAAATTCCAGAGTGGATAGTCGAGTTGAGGCATGAGACTGCCCATGGATACGAATTACCATCTATTGGAGTATTGAGAATAGCAATTAATATATTGCTGCATTGGTTACATGTATGTTTGTTTTTGCCATAATTATGTAAAATCCATTCTATAATTACAAAGATATAAATAGTTATATTTATAAGAATTGAAGAAGTTACAATCAAATATGAAAATATTTGTGTGACTGTCAATTAGTCAATTCTTACAACTATAACCACTTTTTTTTATGCAGTAATATTATAATAGAATGGGTTTAAGAGTATTCAGTATTACAAAACCTTTTGAAATATTATCTTGTAAAGGACGAGTATTGGGCGCCCGAAGCATGTGCAATGAAAAGATATTACTTGAAAGAAGGAGAGGAAGTCTTAAAAGAGGAAGGGGAATCCGAAGTAGAGGATTTTACAAATATGATTGAAATTTGGACAGCTGTTAGTTTATATGTCAACGCTGATTATAAATTAGTGTCGGATTTACCAGAGACACAATTATGGTATATTTTTATTGCAAATCGAATGAATTATTCTGTCAGCATTTTTTACTTAATCAATAAGTCCTTAATATGGAATTATAAGATATATAGTTAAATTAATTTGTTAATATTACTTCTTACAGTGAAATATTGCAAGATTTACGTACATACATGTTGTCTGAGTATAGAAGTAAAATTTCGAATGACGAGAACGAATATATATCCGTTTACAAAAGAACTGTAAAAATTGATAAAGAATACAATTTGCGAACTGCAAAAACTCTACTTTTAGCCAAGATATCTGTGGATTTAAGTGAATCCTTAAGTACAATGCATGAGAAGAGCAATACAATTTGCAACGTATTATGCAAAAATAAAGTTTTTCTACCAAATTTAGATGTCATGAAAATTTTTCGACAACAAGAAAAAAAGAATACCAATTCGAAAAGAAAAATTTTGCCGCCCAAGATGCTTCGATTCTGGAAAGATATTATTTTCTTGTTACATGAAAAAGGGATGTTAGAGACACTACTCTTCAAGCTACTCAGTATTGTAAATCAAGAACATGAAGATAAAGAAAGAAAAAATCTTGCTGCTTTGTGGATAAGTTCCATTTTTTATAGTTTTGTTCAATTAGACATCGTCCAAAGTATTTCTCATACCATGGAGTATGAATTACAGAAAGCGGACAGAAAACTAGACACAAAAATTTTAAGTCAACATCTCAAAGAACGCATACACTCTGAACATCCATACTTGCGGGGTGTCTTGTGGTTAGACATGTCAAGTATCATACCATACTTTCTTCTTGATACAAATTTTTTATCAAAACTTTTACTAAATATAAATGAATTCTCTGCAAGACTGGTAGAACCAATTTTAAAGTTGCTTACATCAAGAATAGATTTACAAACACAAAAACATTTGTTAAATTTACTTCAAATTTACACATGTCAAAAGCATGATAATGAGGACAGTAACAATGATGTTGATAAAATATTTACTGTCGAAGACTTCGATCTAAGTCCAATAGAAAATGAAGCGCATACACACAAAATAAATCGTGCAAATAGAGAAAAAACTACTCATTTGGCAGACCAAATAATCCGTAATTCACATTGGAAATTAGCACATGGTACGCATTTATAAATGAGGTTTTCCAAGATGTATATAATAATTTGATCAATAATATAGTACTGTTGTTTTTTTTTTATCTGATTTCTAGACAATTTTCAATGGATCGGATGTCCCATTGGATTACTACCATGGCAGGTAGACTCGTTGAAGAGTTTGGAACCACTCGAACTGAATCCATCGCAACACTCGGTTTCAGTTCTAGATTCTCAAATAGTCGCTGGTATTATAAATCGTAAAAATTTAAAAATGCAAAGTTGTATTAAATGGGACGACGTACTGCGAAAAAAAAGGAGAATAGAGAAGAAACATAATAAACATATCGTAGATGTAATGAATAGAGCATTAGAGATTTTTAAAAACCAGAAATAATGTGATATAATGTAATATAAATCTGTAGTGGACATAATAAAATACACATTAATGTCTATCACATATTGCTCCAATAAATTATATTCATAATAAAATATACAACAAAGCTGTTCGTACGAAACGTATTTATATTGTATCAGCATTAAATATAAAGTTTGTATTAAATATAGAAAAAATCTATAATGTATACACTGCAGGAAAAAAGTATGAAAGTATCTCGCTATGTAATTAAACATACTTGCAGATACACTCTAGTTGCAAATTAATAATTATATCCATTTAAATAATATTTATCTATATCCCTGACATATATGTGTATAATTATCACACCATAACAATCAAATATATTAAGTTACATAAATTACATTACTATATATAAA